TAGACCCCTAATTGGGTTTCGATGATTAATGACAATATAATATTATTGTGACTAACGTGTGTTTTGTAGAGACAATTAAGTTAGGTCCTGATAATGGAGATCGATTGGGCAATCATGGTTGTCATGCCCCTACGATGGAAATCGTTTCGGTTTTCAAAGGATGGACGACAAAGGTTAAGGATGGACTAGTTTTAAGTGTCGTTTGGAGTTAGAGAGACACTTAGAGTAGTTTAAGACTGTGTTTTTCCTTTGGCCGTACTATTAAGGGGGAGTATGAACGGGTAGCTTGACCTAGGTGAGTCTAGTGAGTTAGGTGTGGTGCACACTTGTTAAAACTAGCGCTAGGTAGCTCCTACATATGCCTAAGATCCAATGGAGCAAACTTCATTCACGTATGATCGAGAGTTGGAAGTAAATGGAGGGTCAAATACTGATCGGACACTGGCTTCGGTGTGACCGGACGCTGGTGTAGAGTCCGATCAGTTCATTTGACCGAGAAGAAATCGTTCGGTGCGACCGGACGCTGGAAGGTCATGTGACCGGACGCTGAGAGCCAGCGTCCGGTCGTTTTCAGTAAGGTTCTAGAGAGAAAATCGTGACCAGACGCGTCCGGTCACACTATAAACACTGAAGTTCGGGGAGAACTGCCCGGAGCGTCCGATCACCCCGCAGAGGCATATAACGGTTCATTTTTCAGCCCATGTTATAAATAGAAGCTCCACTCATGTGTGGAGTTACTTTTGCTCATTTCAACAACTGAAACACACCTTAGAGAGTGCCAAGAAGAGCAAGGTCCTAGTGAGATGATTGAGATTTGAGAATCCCAAAGAGAGCCCTCATTAGTGAGATCAAGAGTAGCAAAGTGTGCATCCATCTTTCTCCCTAGGCTTGTCATGGTCAAGTGAGAGTTCGTGCTTGTTACTCTTGGTGATCGCCATCACCTAGACGGCTTGATGGTGATTGGAGAGCTTAGTGATCATTCGGAGAGCTTGTGGATGACCCAACTCAAGTTGTGAGCGGTTGTGGGTGATTCACCGCGACGGAGTGTCGAAGAATCAACCCGTAGAGAGCACTTGATCCTTGCGCGGATTAAGGGGGAGCTACACCCTTGCGCGGGTGCTCCAACGAGGACTAGTGGGGAGTGACGACTCTCCGATACCTCGACAAAACATCGCCGCGTTCCTCCTTCTCACTTTACTTTGAACAATTCAATTCTTGTCATTTACATTCTTAGAATTGTCATGCTAGAGTAGGATTGGAACATATGTTGCAAGTCTTTTGTGCGGTAGAACAATTAGAAACACTTTTTAGGCACAAGGGGTTAATTGGGCTAAACATAGGATTTAATTATTACAAAGAAATTTAGAATTAGCCCAATTCACCTTTCTCTTAGGCATCTTGATCCGTTCAGTCTCCAAAACATGGACGAGTACAGATTAGGTATTACTTTAAATTAGTATAATTCCAAAGAATCTTGTGGTAATCTGAAAATTGACCTGAAGGAAGTGTAGTGCGTTGTCAGTTGTAGGATAGTTAAATTGTTATCACGCTCAATATTCTAAATTATCACTAACAGCAAATTCATGTGTTCGACTCTAGACCTGCAGTTGCAGGCACTGTTATACTCTTCTTTTGTAGCCTGGCATGTATTGCCATTCAGAAGCTATGCTCATCCTGGAGTAAGTATATAGCTAGGTTAAATATTACAAATATGACAAACGAGCGCGATTTGTTAATGATGATGATTGATGCCTCACAATGTTCCTTCAATTTATTTTATTTTTCTGTCTATATTTAGGTGTTTGTTCAATCTACTTTATAGCCATGTTGGTAGAGAATGAATAACCAAATTCAGTCATCCACAATTTTACCTATTACTTTGGCATTGTTGCGTGCCTGAGTGGCATTTCAGCTGATCTATAATTGTGTCGGCAATTTGTTCTGAATAATTTTTTTTCTATTATTAAAAGCAGCAAGAAGAAAAATGTTTCAGGAGATTGAGTGATGCGATCTGATAGCAAAAATGCTTCTGCGAGAAATGGATGGTGATCCATTCCATCCCATGCCCAACTTCAGGAGAAATTGCAAGGAGGAAGACAAAGAACTATGGACATAAATAATAATATGTATCCCATGCCCTGTAAGCAGACTCACCGCATCAGTGTCGAGACAAATCGCAGGCAGAAAGGCTAACGTAAAAAAGCTCTGGACATTTATGCATAACCCATCTTTTAGGAAGGTAGAAGTATTTGGTCATGGCATATGAGTATATCTTCGCAACTTCCTGACGATAGGGAGTGATTATTCCTATGGAAGATTCATGAGCATGCCTGCATATGAGTACTAACTTCAATCCCATTGAACCATGATGGACTGGTGCCCTCTACTCATCGCTCCTTGTTTGGTACCGCTACCCCGCATGGCTGAAATACTGAAAAGTGACAGAAGAAAATCGAGAAGATGAACTTATAGATATGTTCAGCCATACCTAAGATCAATTTGGAAATTAATAAGCAGACAAATTTACATCTTGTGCCATTTGTTCTAATATGATTTCAAATTAAACATATGGACTAAGAGACAGTAAGATGATCAGAATTTGCCGAAAGGAATTAAACTCTCCAATATTAGATGTAGATTAGAGGTGAATTGTTTTTATTAGCAATTAATTGTAAATAAGTATCAGTAAAAGATGGAATCAAACGTTGGAATCAAATTCATAGTAGGATGCTTAATTTGACGTACCTTGTGTATGGCCTCCGTGCTGCAGCAGGATCGTTGTTGTCGTCCATCCTAGGCGCTATGGTGACCGATGACTGGTGACTGGTGAGATGAAGCAGACGGCGAGGAAGGAGGTCGGGCGGACTCATGGCGGACGGCCAGACGGGAACCAAATCGCCGAGCGCTTGTCGGTCACCTTCCGCTTCCGTCGCGTCAGGGGGCCGAGCCGTGGAGGGGATGGGCTGCCGCGCCGGGTACTGACTGCGCTGCTGCGTCTGCGCGCGACTGCTGTGGGGGGAGAGAGAGGAGAGGCGCCGCTAGGGCTTGCCCGCGACGCCATCGCAGGGTCCTCGGTGTCGGGTCGGTCGGCAGCTTCGGGCGGGGGCGTCACGGCGATGGCAGGTCGGTGGAGCCAGATCCGTCGCCGCCGATGCTGGTGGTGGCCGGATCCGCCTCCACCACTCCTCTGGCTGGCCGCGGCCGGCGCTGTGGGCGAGGGAGAGGGAGGGACGCTCGGCCTTGGGAGCCGCCGCTGCTGTGGGGGAGAGGGAGATGGAGAGGGAGGGGCGCCGCGCTCGGGCCCTGCGAGAAGGTTCGGGATCAGGAGAGCAAGGGCAGCGACGTGGACGGCAGCCGATGCCGGGTCCCGATCGGACGGTGCTGGTTGGATCACTGTTTTGGGAACAGTGGTCTGGGTCAGGGGGGCTGTTGATCTACAGTGTATTGTGAGAGGGGGATTGGTATACAGACAGGATTAGGAGTCTAGGATAGACTGGTGATATTTATTTATTGCGACTGAACTCAAGGAAGGGCTACTTGTTGATTGATATTATGTCGTAGATACAGAAATAATCTCATGTTTCTTGTACCAAGTAATGTAATCATGGTTTGGAAGAATCTGTGACACGTTCGCTTGACTTATAAGTCGTACTTTTTTAACCAACGAACGATATTTTTCTCTCACAACAAATCAGTCAACGGTATTTCCAATCCTAGCTTTTCAGCCCAGCGTTTGTAGATTGCTACTGTACCTGGACCATCTACGATCGAACTGTCAATCCATTACTAGTGCTGCGCTTCAAATATCACCTTTTTATTAGGGCATGAGGCTGCGCTTATCTGGTTTCATGCCGACAAATACCAAAAGTTCGGCACGGTAAAAACTTAAAATTTTGATTAATTTCAGCTACAGTTTTGAAGCCTTTTTTTTAACTCATAATGTGAATCCTAAGTTGGCCAAAACATTACCAACCAGTTTAAGGGTTTGTTTGAATATCCGAAAGGTTACGAGAATCTAGATGGTGACTCAAAATTTTGAATTCTGGATAAAAAAAGAGAAGTCTATTTAGATCCGTATAGACACAGGTTATAGATAGTTGAAGGTGTTTCACATTTATTATCTTTAAATAAACTGCTCGTATCTTTTTAGATTTATTTTAGGATTTTAACGCGATGTTTTTTCCAGTAGCTGACGACATGTCCATCAATTGCGGGGTGTCTGATGACTTTGTCAGCCTCAAGATATGCTGAAGTCTTTCAAAATTGTCATAAGAATAGGGTGTGCGTGCACACGTTCACATATGTGTGTGTACATGTAACAAAATAGTAGGATGGAGGTGTACAGTTGAATTCTCAAAAACTGATTGTTAGATTATAAGAATCTCTCATTAGATTCTATCTATTTGGATCTCATTCTCACAATTCTTAGGAGACCCAAACATGACATGAAGTCCTAAAGCACATCAATTTTGGGATTGACAGAATTTTGGCTTCATATATTCTGTCTTGATATAATCCAAACACAATCGTAGCTTACCAAACACATGGAAGCTACATGTTCGCTGAGAGGAATTTTAAGGAAATCTAGATGAATCTTGAGGAATTTATGAGAGAATAAAGAGTAAAAACCAGCTGTGCACAGTAAAATCCGGCTGGTTTTCATACCAGCCGAACTGCCCCAAAAACAAAATAAACAATCATGGACCTATTTGGTTTGCCCCCTAGAGGCCCAGACAAACCTATCTAACGCAGACAACCTCATTGTGTCTGATCTATTGGCTGAGGTGAGGACAAGAACCAAGCAGCCCTATGCATGGAACTACAACTCTACCCGAAGGGTAATCATACATACATAGGATACACGACTGCAAATAAGTTAGGAACTTCAGTAATAAAGCAAGTTAGATCTAGATGTTTGCCAAGATAACAGACGATATTCACAGGGGAGTTTGTCGCGCTGTTCACACAAGTCAGTTTCTCACTGTCACTTTGGTGAGGTTTCATATCTTCACCTCCCTAACGTCATTTTGTCCGAATGGGGTTCCACAGCCAGGACATTTCCGGTGGCGAATCTCAAGGTTCCTCTGGATGCATGGTGAGCAGAATAGGTGGAAACATTTGGTGATCACAACCTGTTAACAAATATGCAGAGAAATACAACCCTCGTCAGTTTAGGCAGCAAAACTGATCATCCAACAGCCAGAGATACAAAGAGGTAAGAATGGCGTAAACCTCTGAAATCATGATTCAGAAACAGGTTCAGGTCATTCAAAAAGATAAAACTGTACAATACATTATATGTACCTCTTTAGGCCGGTCAAAGCAGACACCACACTTCAGAATAGCCTTGCATTCCTTTATTTCATCCTGAAGTTTCTGGATAGTAGTCTCTTCAGTCTCAGAGGTCAGCTCCATAACTTCATTTTTCACCTCTTCGTATTGTTCTTCAAGCCGCCGCCTCTCATTCCTGGAAAAAGTAAAGGTAACGAGCAAATGACAAGAAAGCCAGCGGCATTGCATGATCAACTTGCAACAGAGGCCTAACCTCTCATGCTCCAGCAACGCTCTCAGCTCAGATATCTTTTGCTGAGTTTGCTCATATTCTTTCTCAGAGGATCCAACAGAGGACCGAAGCCACTTGAGTAACTTATCTGTGTTGGATACCTCCAGCGCAATCCTTTCCAGGCTAATAGTAAGATGCCTGTTTTCAGCTGAAGTTTTTATAGATTGCGCTACACAAGTGTTCATCTGTAAGAATCATCAAAGGAAACCACTATTAAAGTTTGCTCACTTCCGAGTGTAAGCACTAAAACAAGTATACTTTTTGAAAGTTGATGTCTGCTATTTGACTCTGTTGGCACACAAATAAATTCAGTGACTGCAACTTGCCAAAAAATGATACTATATAAAGGAAGTATTACAACAGAAGTAAGACAATACCTGCTCTTCACCATGGGCAATTTTCAGTTTAGATGACTCCAGTGAAGTGTTAACTTGCTGGAGTTGCTTCTCTAGCATAAGCTTGTCAGAGAGAAGGGAACTACAAGCTTGTTTCATCTTCACACTATCTGATACTAGCTGTTAGATGAGATTTAAGTTACTGATAGCAACCAATAAGAAAATCAAAGCTTATATTGTTTTTGCCATAGCAAAACTGCAGAAAGAGATTTGTAAACTTGATTAATGTGCATAATTTCCAGCAATAACTAGCTAATAGACATCATGAGGTGGCCAATCAGACGTAAGTGAAGCTCTATGTCTTAGCCACTACAATATCTGCAAAAATATGCCATAAAACCCAAAATACTGGTATATTATGTTTCTTGTTAGATCCTTTTTCCTTGTTTGCCAGAAGTTCACACTTCATTGCACATCAAAATATGGTTGATCACTTACATACCTATTATGTTCGCTAACAAGGCAGAATCAATAAGATTGTCTGAAATTTTACAGCTTTTCATGACTTTATAAAGTAGGTAGTGTCATGTCAAGATTGGCATATAAAACTCCAGGCATGTATCTCCAATCCGTATGTTATGACTTTGCAGCTTTGACGTCAAAGTGAAAAAGGAGAGAACTAATAAATACCTTTATGTTAAAGTCATCTCTATCAGTAAGCTGTTGAAGAAGATGCTGATTTTGTGTTTGCATGTCTTCATATGCTTGACCAATTGTCTGTATGCAAATATTATACATTTTACTCATACCCCAAAACAGTACTGATAAACAAAAAAAACTAACCTCAATATCGGCAATATAGGCATCTCCTTCAGCCTTTTTTATTCTTATCGCCTCCTTAAGTTCCACAACATCTCTGATAAAACAGATCACAGAGGTGACAGAGTATGGCTTAGACATAGAAAATCAAATCTTAACAAAACAAATCTAAATGTTTACTGGATTCACTTATATAACATATTTTTCTCGAACACGCAGGAGAGCTGCGTATCATTGTATTAATAGAAGAAAAAGAGAGTCATACATAGACCCGAACCCCACACACCCACCCACCACTACATAGACACTGGATCACCAGTTAAGAAAGACAAAAAGACGACCCTACAGCAGTCCATTAGACTGATCCTCCAGCAGAGAGCAGGGAAATTCCCTTGGCTCCTGCTAGGCTCCACCAATGAGCCTCTTCCCTAGCCAGAGCCAGAGCCAAGTTAACATTTGGGGTTGGGGTTGCCCCATTAAAAACACAATCATTTATATGTCACCAGATGCTCCAGGCTCCCAAAATGACTAGGGAATTCAGACCCAACCTATAATCTCCACTAGTAGCACTATCAACTTTTCTCCACCAATTATCAAAGGATTGGTCAGAAGGTTGAGGAGCAAGTGCTGCAAAACCAAAGCGCGACAGGAGGGAGAACCAAAAGTCTCTTGAGAATACACAGCCCACAAGAAGATGTTGAATGTCCTCCTCCTCTTGATCACATAGAAGGCACTGATCTGGATGAGGGAGCCCCCTCTTTGCCAATCTGTCCACTGTCCAACATCTATTATGAGCGACAAGCCACATGAAAAATTTGCATTTGGGGTGGTGGTGGTGGTGGTGGTGGGTGGTGGGGGGGGGGGAGGGGCCAGGATTTCCAGATTCTCTCACAAGGTTCAAAGAAGATTGCACCCTGAAAAAGCGTATCATAGGCGCACTTTGCTGTATATTTTCATGAAGTAGATAGCCTCCAGATGTGCTTATCAGGAATTTCCTCATTTAGCTCCACACCATTCAGGATATCCCAAAGTTCAAGATACTGAATCAAGGCAGTTGAACCGATCTCACCTTGTATGTCCTCTGTCCATTTTTCCTCAGTTAGTGCTACCAACACAGTACGTCTACTTGACCTTTTAGGAACCAGTGCATATACCAGAGGTGCGATGTCCTGGATTCTTTTGCCATCTAACCATTTGTCCTCCCAAAAGAGTGTATTGGATCCATTTCCAACTTCAGTTATTACAGCCACAGAGATGAGGCCAGCTACCTCTCTACTGACTTGGATAGGTAGATTTGCCCACGGTTTGCTGGGCTCACTCCGCTTGAGCCACGGCCATCGTGCTTTTAAGGCGATACTCAAAGCCTTCAGATCAGCAATCCCAAGACCACCTAGTTCTCGGGAACGGCACACTTTAGGCCAGGCAATGAGACAGTGACCACCCTTTGCCTCTTTTCGGCCTCTCCACAGGAAGGCCCTTCTGATCTTGTCAATGGCTTTGAAAGCCCAAGGTGGGAGATCTATTGCCATGGCCACATAAATCAGGATTCCTGTGAGAACATACTACACTTGAATAACTCTATCAGCTCGGGTCATCAAATCAGCCTTCCACCCAGGAAGCTGATCTGCAATTCTGTCAATGATGGGTTGGACCTGCTCCTTAGTCAGCTTCTTGATGGTCAGGGGGAGACCCAAATATTTGCAAGGGAAATCCAGCATCTCACAGGGCAACAGATTCTGAATGAGGGCCAAATTTTCCTCAGCACAATGGATTGGTAGCACATTACTTTTTTGAACATTGGTCCTAAGGCCAGATGCTTCACCAAATAAATCCAGTAGCTGTAAAGACAAATTGATATCTGCTGCATTAGGCTGAAGGAAAATGGCTACATCAATCGACATAAAAGAGATTTCTGTGCTGGATAGGCCTACTGGATAAAGGCTGTAGCAGCCCAACTTCAGAAGCCCTTGTGAACATCTGATTTAACACATCCATAACAAGAATAAAGAGCATAGGAGATAGCGGATCTCCCTGTCTCAGTCCCCTTCTGTGCAAAATACCTTCTCCTGGGATGCCATTCAAGAGAACTTGGGTGGATAAAGATGATAAGAGGCCACAAATCATGTCACACCAGCGAGAACCGAAACCCAATTTTCTAAGCACCTCCAAAAGGAAGGCCCAAGACACTAAGTCAAAAGCTTTGGTAATGTCAAGCTTCAGGAGAATTCTGAGCTGCTTTTGAGAGTGTAGGAATTTAACTATCTGCTGGACCATCATGAAATTATCTTGAATGAACCTTTTCTTTATGAAAGCACTTTGATTGGAGGACACCATCTCATCCAGCCGACCTCCAAGCCTATTAGCCAGGATTTTGGTCACAAGTTTGGCGAAGCTGTGAACCAAGCTAATTGGCCTATAATCCTGACTTGAACAACATTAGTCTTTTTTGGAATCAGACTAATGTATGCAGAATTCAGTTTCTGGAGGTTTCTGAAATTTCCAATCCAAAGAAAATGAACTGCTGCCATCACATCATTCTTGATAATTGTCCAGCAACTTTTATAAAATCTGCCAGTGAACCCATCCGGTCCAGGAGCCTTATTAGGTGGCATCTCCTTTATGGTGTTCCACACTTCTGAAAAAGGCAAATCCAAAGCTTCAAGATCGAAGCCGGGGCTGCCAAGGGTGTCCAGATTGATAGTTCTCCCTCTAGCGCACTTAGTCCCAATGAGACTGTCATAAAAATCTAGAACAGCAGCTGTCTTATCCTCATGCTTTGTGATTACCTGATCTCCAACATGCAATTTGGGGATGAAATTTTTCTTTTTTCTATATCTTGCATGTTGATGAAAAAGCCTTGTGTTGGCATACCCATCCTTTAACCAATTTATCCTGGACCTGAGTCTTGATATTGTTCTCAGCAGGGAAGATAGCGCCAGTGAATGCTTCCTAAGATTATTACGTAGCCATAATTCATTAGGTTGAAGAGGCCTGCTTTCTTGAGCAATATCAAGTTGGTGGACGATTTCTTTTGCCAAAAGCAATTGGGACTTGAAGTGACCAAATTTCTTCTGACTCTAGCTCTGTAACCCTCTGGCAGTTGCCTTGAGTTTCAAAGCAAGGGTATCAAGTGGACAGGTTCTAGGCTGTACAGTGTCCCAAGCATCCTTCACTACTTCTAGAAAACCATCCAGAGAGCGCCAGAAAGCTTCGAAATGAAATCTTTTCTTGCAGCCAATGATATCCTGCAGCCAAGGATCGAGGCGTGGTCGAGTCATTAGAAGCAAAGACACTCGCAGGAGACAACTCAGAACCGATCTTCCCAATCCAATTATGGTAGAATAATCATCCAACCGAACAAGAGTAGGGGAAGCATTAGTGAAGGCTGGTCCATGTATATTTACGTCCATCAAGGGTCACTTTTGAGCCCTTATTTGTTTGCTTTAGTGATGGATGAGGTCACAAGGGACATACAAGGGGACATCCTTGGTGTATGCTTTTCATGAGACGATGTAGTGCTAGTTGATGAAAGCCGACAGAGTGAATCGGCTGGAGTTATGGCGGGAGACTTTGGAGTCCAAAGGTTTTAGACTCAAAGGTAACTAAAAGCGAGTATATGAGATGTGACTTCGCACTACTACTCGGAAGGAGGAAGGTGTTAGTTTGGAAGGTCAAGTAGTGCCTATGAAGGATACCTTTCGATATTTAGGATCAATGCTACTGAGAGGGGCGGGGATATTGATGAAGATGTTAGCCATAGAATCAAAGCGGTGGGTGGATGAAGTGGCGGCAAGCGTCCGTGTCCTATGTGACAAAAGGGTACCACATGGCTAAAAGGCAAGTTTTATAGGACGGCGATTAGACCGCTATGTTGTATGGTGCGTAATGTTGGCCTCTAAAAAGGCGACATGTTCAACGATGTCGCGAAATGCGTATGTTGCGTTGGATTTGCGGTCATACAAGAAGGGATCGAGTTCGAACGATGATATACGTGATAGATTAGGGGTAGCGCCAATTGAAGAAAAGCTTGTCCAACACCGGTTGAGATGGTTTGGACATGTGCAACGGAGACCCCTGAGAGGCACCATGCGTGTAGTGGCATACTAAGCCGTGATAGTAACGTGAAGAGAGACAGAGAAGACCGAAGTTGACTTGGGTAGAGGCAATAAAAGGAGACTTGAAAGGATGGAATATACCCAAAGACTTAGCCTTAGATAGGAGTGCTTGGAAGATGCTATTCACGGCTCGAACCTTGATTGCTTCGATGGGTTTCAACTCTAGCCTACCCCAACTTGTTTGGGACTTAAAGGCTTTGTTGTTGTTGTTGTTGTTGTTGAAGAGGAATTTCAGAGACCCTCAAATCATTTATCCATCTTCTGAACCTTCCCATCATTGCTCTATTAAGATTGGAATTGTTTTTGTTCTCCTCCTTATAAATAAGATTGAAGTCCCCGACTACCAGCCATGGCCCAGAGCACTGGACTCTGAAATCCCTCAGCTCTTGAAGAAATTGGATCTTGTCTTGATCTTGTTGGGGGCCATATACACAGGTCAACCACCACGCACTACCATCAGATGGGCAGAATTGAACCGAGACACTGTGAGCATCCACCCTGGTAGCTCCTACAGTGCCCAGTTGAATCCACCAAGCCACCAAAATTCCACCACTGGCTCCATCAGAAGGAAGGTAAATGAAATTATTATCAAATTCACTTCCTAACATGGACAGGACTAGACGCCTGGAAACCGTACACATTTTAGTTTCTTGTAGGCAAACAACATCAATCTTGGAGGCATCCACCATGACTCTAACAGCATCCTGTCTCGCTGCTGAGTTCAAACCTCGTACATTCCAATTTAGTATGTGTGCCGGATCCATAATGATACTGAGGAACAAAATCCATAATGATACTGAGGAACAAAAGCGACCTGGAGGAGCAATCAGACAATATACTCTACCAAGTAAGCAGCAGAAACTGCCTTAGGGAGTGCCCATCCGAAAAGAGCAACCAGGGTGAAAGCTCTAGTTTGGATTTGATGAATTGATGAAACCCTAATTGCTAACCTAGTTTATCAAAATGATTATGAAATAGGTAG